CATCCTCCCACCCACTATCCATCCATCCTCTCCACCCACTACCTCCATCCTCTCACCCACCTATCCTCCATCCTCTCACCCACTCCACCCTACCCTCTCACCCACTCCTCCACCTCCACCCACTACCCTCCATCCTCTCCACCCACCACCTCCATCCTCTCCACCCACTATCCTCCATCCTCTCCACCCACCTCCATCCTCTCCACCCACTACCTCCATCCTCTCCACCCACTCCCTCCATCCTCTCCACCCACTACCCTCCACTCCCACTCCACCCACCACCTCCTCCACCTACCTCCATCCTCTCCACCCACTATCCCTCCATCCTCTCCACCCACTACCCTCCATCCTCTCCACCCACTATCCCCCATCCTCTCCACCCACTACCCTCCACCCACTACCCTTCACCTCCCTCTATATTTGACAAAATCTAATTATGTATTATATCTGAATCATCATAATTGTCGTTTTAAGAACTTTTAACCATTATTACAATTCTTCTTTTTATTATTATTGTTATTATTATTATTGTTATTATTAGTGTTATTATTATTATTATTATTATTATTATTATTATTATTAATATCATTATTATTATTATTATTATTATTATTATTATTATTATCATTTTCATTATTATTATCATTATAAGCATGAGCATTATTGTTATTATTATTGTTATTATTATTATTATTATTATTATTATTATTATTATTATTATTATCATAATTGTTATTATTATTATTATTATTATTATTATTTTAAGCATTATTAATATTATCATTAGCATTATTATTATTTCTCTGACGGGTGTAAGTTACGAGAGGAGGACAGGCCGCGTAAGACAGTGGGCTGACAGTGGGCACGCGCCATCCTTCCCTCCCGTCACTGCCCCACCAAGCCCTGTGCGCCGCCGCCACTTCCCCCAGCTGCAGGGAAGTGGCAGTTTGGTCACTGTTACCTACACACTACTTCCCTCCCCTCTCTCTGTCTCTCGCACACACACACACCCACCCACACACACACATACATGCATGCATACATACATACATGTAAAGGCTAATTTAAACAATTTGAAGACGTTGGTTTAACCCATTGAGGATCTTGATCAATCACCATGGTAGAGACGATCAATCACCATGGTAGCGACGATCAATCACCATGGTAGAGACGATCAATCACCATGGTAGTAGAGACGATCAATCACCATGGTAGAGACGATCAATCAACATGGTAGAGACGATCAATCACCATGGTAGCGACGATCAATCAACATGGTACAGACGATCAATCACCATGGTAGCGACGATCAATCACCATGGTAGACGATCAATAACCATGGTAGATCAATCAACATGGTAGAGACGATCAATCACCATGGTAGCGACGATCAATCAACATGGTAGAGACGATCAATCACCATGGTAGAGACGATCAATCAACATGGTAGAGACGATCAATCACCATGGTAGCGACGATCAATCAACATGGTAGAGACGATCAATCAACATGGTACAGACGATCAATCACCATGGTGGCGACGATCAATCACCATGGTAGAGACGATCAATCACCATGGTAGAGACGATCAATCACCATGGTAGAGACGATCAATCACCATCAATAGAGACAGTCTTCAGATTGGCAACTTATTCCAATCGTCGACAAACCACACCTCCCCCATTAAAATTGACACGAGACAACGGATTCTGGTGTAGATCGACGTTCAATTTCTACCCCCCCTCCCCTAACCCACGTCAACTAGAGATTTACCTCCAATTTCTATCTCCCCCATCAACCCCACCCACCCCCCAACTTCAACCACCACCAGGAGAAGCGATGAACCATCTAATTGGCAAAATCTCGGTGAAAATAACCAGACATTCTAACGTACTGTACTTAACTAAATTTCATATAGTGTACGTGAACAAAAATCAAATTAAGGTCTTTTTTTTTTAAGATATATATTTTTTGTAGGATTAGTATTGTATAGAGATTTTACCGTAACTAAATGCGTTGTTTTTTTTTGTAGTATATGAGTAAATATGGGAGAAAATTTAGGTCAGGTTAGGTCATTTTAAGTAAGGTTTAGTTAGGTTAGGTTAGGTTAGGTTAAGTAAGGTTAGGTTAGGTTAGGTTAGACACGAATACACAAACACATTCACCATTTCCACCACCATCACCACACTAATTACAATACTCCGCTGACACACACACACACACACACACACACACACATAATTAGGGCTTTTATACATCATTATTATCATCATCATTACCATCGTCAACATGTATATTACTGTACACACATGTCCAGTAATTCTTAAACAGGTACAATAATTATCATACAGGTACAGTCAATCTCACCTGAAGATTAACCACTCTAACGTCACCTGGTTACCTGTGGTGGAGGTTAGCGCATAGTTAATCTTGGTGTAAAATAAGCTGGGGTGGTTAATCTTGGTGTAAAATAAGCTGGGGTGGTTAATCTTGGTGTAAAATAAGCTGGGGTGGTTAATCTTGGTGTAAAATAAGCTGGGGGGTTAATCTTGGTGTAAAATAAGCTGGGGTGGCTGATCTTGGTGTAAAATAAGCTGGGGTGGCTAATCTTGGTGTAAAATAAGCTGGGGTGGTTAATCTTGGTGTAAAATAAGCTGGGGTGGTTAATCTTGGTGTAAAATAAGCTGGGGTGGTAAATTTTGGTGTAAAATAAGCTGGGGTGGTTAATCTTGGTGTAAAATAAGCTGGGATGGCTGATCTTGGTGTAAAATAAGCTGGGGTGGTTAATCTTCAGGAGAACCGAATATTCTAATATGAATTTCTTACTTATATTTTCAAAGATAAATCGCTGACAGACATACAAGTTATCTATCTATCTACCGATTTATTTAGTCATCTATTTATCTATCTATCTATCGTTCTCCGCCTTAAAAACCTTAAAAAAATGACTGTGTGTAGTAAATGATTTTAGATATAATGATCGTCACAAAATACTACGATAACATGATCCAGTTGTCGCATAATAACAGAGATGAACGGCGCAGGGAAAAAATACTTGAGTTATCCCCACGCATAGGAAAAAAATCTCTAACATCCAGCTCCTGCCATGGAAATAATCCCTAACATCCAGCCACTGCCCCGGAAATATTCCCTAACATCCAGCCCCTGCCCCGGAAATAATCCCTAACATCCAGCACCTGCCATGGAAATAATCCCTAACATCCAGCCCCTGTCACGGAAATATTCCCTAACATCCAGCCCCTGTCACGGAAATAATCCCCACTGCACGACACACAGTTTGAGAAATTGATGCTACTTGGTTATAAGTTCAATACTTAATTCCGGTAATTTATGGACCATTACCGTACAGTGAAACCTCTATATAACGGACTTCTTTCTCTCTCTCCATACGGGTTGAAACAGGACCTGACTCACGTAGACTAAGGACCTGCCTCACGTGGACCAAGGAACTACTTCACATGGGCCCCGGACCTGCCTCCATGGGGCCCCGGACCTGCCTCACATAGACTTAGGACCTACGTCATATGGGCCCCGGACCTGCTTCCATGGGGCCCCGGACCTGCCTCACACGGGCCCCGGACCTGCCTCACACGGGCCCCGGACCTGCCTCACATAGACCCTAAGACCTACTGCAATTTTCATTTATTCTTGTGTAATAAACGACCCTGAACAAGGACGGTGTGTGGATGCTTGAGGAGGTGTGGAGTCTCGTGTCTGGAGAAGGGGTGAAGGAGTGAGCAGAGTGGCTGGGGGTGCAGGAGAGGGAGGGCGGAGGTGTTGGAGGGTGAGCGTGAGCATGGAGAAGGTGTACAATAATAATGCTAGGTTAGTGTTAGGTAAGGCTAGGTTAGGTTAGTGTTAGGTTAAGTTAGTGTTAGGGTGGTGAGTTTAGGCTAGTGTTAGGTAAGGCTAGGTTAGGTTAGTGTTAGGTTAGATTAGGATAGGGTGGTTAATCTTCAGGTGAAAATAAACTGATGTACAGATTCTTCAAGTGATCCATCATTTGTTGACGTAATGTCGTCTAAATTAGATGGTTAGCGTCAAGGGGTGAACAGAGAGAGTTGACGTAACACTAGCACTTGGGAAAGGGTTAAAAATATCGTGTGAGAAATAGATGAGATAGTTTTGGTTACGAGGAGAGGGAGGGGGGGAGGGAGGGAAGGATATGTGGGTGTGGGAGAGAAGGAAGGAAACTGTCCCACATGACGTATCGAAGAACAAGAAGACAATAACAACAAGCTCCATGACGTTTACAGTACCGTGTGAGTGGTAGGCATCCGTCTCCCACACACAAACTCTCCTACCGGAATTTGGTAAACATGGCGGACGTGAATGAGTAAACAAATGGCGATAACTTTCTGTGGTCATGAGGGAGAGGTGACGGTCCAAGATGTGTTGCTGCCACTCAAAAGATGTTAGGTTACATCCTGTGTACACCGTCCACTTTACTACCATCCTGCCACCTTGTCTCTTATCTTCACTATATATCCTCACTGACGTAATATTAACCTCACACACATAAACACGTTAATCTGTTTCAACAACTGTACACTGGTTGATAATCCCTAATGCCATGTGTAAACCTTCAGCTTCAACCACCTAACCTGACACACACACACACACACACACCTCATCACTCTGGCCAGCAAGTTATCAACATCACCACTACATTACATGACTGCCACTCACGAGATTTTTGGTAAATATCTTAATAAAATGACAACAGAGACGAAGATGTGTGGTTACATAAGTCAACACACACACGCGGGAGACTCCACAGGTGGCAGGTACACAAAATGGTTGGTGACTCGCGGCTCTCCAACTACCACACCAACTTAGTATTATTTTTGTTTTCCAGTAAATTCTGTTTTCTAACCCAACACAAATATCCACACGTAAGTTAGTCTAAAGTACTCCCAGACATGAGACGTTAGCTTCACCACACAAGCTAAGGTGGCGGTGGTAATCAACTGTCTTACCTGGTCCTCCGAATACTGCAGGTGTGAGGCCATGCTGTTGAGGTGGTGGGCAGGTTCTGTCCAGTCTAGTACCATGTCCGTCCTGAGGTGACTTAATGCTGCTGCACCATCACAACAACACTATACACATACACCCAACACTGTCTGCGTCACTATACGTCCACGAGGGGGTTCACTGTGCGCTCAAATATGCTTCGAAATATTGGTGTGTCAAAGGTTCACTGGCGTTCGTAAGAGTGCTGAGTACAACACTTGGTCGAGTGATGGGTGAAGGAGGCGCGGGTTGGTGGCTAGCTGGGGTGTAGAGAGAGAGAGCAACACGGCGGCGCCTGCGTGCGTGTCACTACACCAGTTCCCAGGGACTGTCACTATCTCCTCTCTCACACACCAGGTTCCCACCACGTCTTATCGTCCAAGCACCGCCCACCACATCGTCTCGCTCCTCCCACAGTGCCAAAGCTCGTTCTTTATTGGTCCTTACTGGAATCTCACCCTGAGTCAGAACCCCGCGCGTGGGTTGGTAACTGGCCGCCAGCCAATAGCAATCCTCGACGCCCCTTAGCTCCGCCTCTCAACACTCGCGGGTGACCACTTGCCACCTCCACTGCACGCGACTATAGCGTGTTGAGCTGCACGCCACGAGTAGCTGCAGCAAAATTTCTATTGCGTACAATAAATAGAATATCACGAACAGACAGACACCAAATTACAACACTTACGACGCCACGAACAGTAGCGATAAATATGAACTGTGGAGGCTCTCATCTCTAGTTAATATACACACACACACACACACAGTCCAGTGCAGCAGATAAAAAAAATAAGCAATTTCATGTTTTCGATTATATTTTTTGTAGCTATTAATGGCGTCGAGAATACGATAGTCGTGTGTGTGTGTGTGTGGTTACGATACTGTGTTTTTTACGTCTATGTGCTACAATTTACCAACATTTGTGTTTTATACCTGGCCGATTATGATTGTGTGTGTGTGTGTGTACAAAAAGTCAGGTGGTGTGCAGGAGGGCATGTGTACGTGAGTCCCCTTACAACACACGCGGTTCATAAGTATAATAATACACTAACTTCTCATACACACACACACACACACACAGATATAGATAGACAAAATGATAGATAGATGAGATAGAAATATGTATAGTAATAGGGAGTGAGAGAGTGAGCGTGTGTGAGTACAGTGATAGGTAGTGGAAGAGTGTGTGTGTGTGTGTGTGTGTGTGTGTGTGTGTGTGTGTGTGTGTGTGTGTGTGTGTGTGTGTGTGTGTGTGTGTGTGTGTGTGTGTGTGTGTGTGTGTGTGGTGTGTGTGTGTGTGTGTGTGTGTGTGTGTGTGTGTGTGTGTGTGTGTGTGTGTGTGTGTGTGTGTGTGTGTGTGTGTGTGTGTGTGTGTGTGTGTGTGTGTGTGTGTGTGTGTGTGTGTGTGTGTGTGGTGTGTGTGTGTGTGTGTGTGTGTGTGTGTGTGTGTGTGTGTGTGTGTGTGTGTGTGTGTGTGTGTGTGTGTGTGTGTGTGTGTGTGTGTGTGTGTGTGTGTGTGTGTGTGTGTGTGTGTGTGTGTGTTGTGTGTGTGTGTGTGTGTGTGTGTGTGTGTGTGTGGGTGTGTGTGTGTGTGTGTGTGTGTGTGTGTGTGTGTGTGTAATAATAATAATAATACTAACGGTTTATTGAAAATTCTGCAGCCCGAAGGCTGAAAATATACATTGGACATAAATGACTTGTTACATACATTGGTGGTTTAACAAAAGCCTTCATTAGAGAAAGGTAAAGGAACATACAGTGAACATACAGATTAATGTAGGTGTTGAACAGCAAACTCGTAGTGTAAGCTCCCTCCCAGATGGTGTTAGGAGGAACTCACGTGGTGTAGTAGTTCCCCTCAGATGGTGTTATGAGGGACCTGGCGTGGTGTAGTAATTCCCTCGCAGATGGTGTTATGAGGGACCTGGCGTGGTGTAGTAATTCCCTCACAGATGGTGTTATGAGGGACCTCACGTGGTGTAGTAATTCCCTCACAGATGGTGTAATGAGGGACCTCACGTGTGTGTGTGTGTGTGTGTTGTGTGAGAGAGTACAGTAATAGGAAATGAGAGCATAGTTATAGGTAGAGAGAGGGGGGAGAGGGAGCGTGAGAGAGGGGAGGTGGAGTGGGCAACAGGTCAAGGGATTGTGATGCGCTAAGTACAGGGGGTGGTGGGCAGTGCCAGTCTGACACAAACGTTGGCTTCCCCTCCCCGCTTCACTCTCTCAGGGTGGGGGTGGTGGGGGGTGTGAGGTGAGGGAGGAAGTGGTGGGGAAGAGTAGGTGTGGTGGTAGAGAGGGGTTGAGGTAGGATTCACTTCTTTCTTATACTACAGCAGCTAGCACTCCTACCACACCTCACCACTACCACACCTCACCACAAACACACCTTACCACTACCACACCTCACCACTACCACATCTCACCACAAACACACCTCACCACTAACACACCTCACCACTACCACACCTCACCACCAACACACCTCACCACTACCACATCTCACCACAAACACACCTCACCACTACCACACCTCACCACTACCACACCTCACCACCAACACACCTCACCACCAACACACCTCACCACTAACACACCTCACCACTACCACACCTCACCACTACCACACCTCACCACTACCACACCTCTCACCACCACCACACCTCCCACCACCACCACACCTCACCACCACCACACCTCACCACCACACCTCACCACCACACCTCACCCACCACACCTCACCACCACCACACCTCCACCACCCCACGCCTCACCACCACCACACCTCCACCACCCCACACCTCCACCACCACCACCCTCACCACCACACCTCCACCACCACCTCCACCACCACCACCTCACCACCACACCTCCCACCAAAATAGGAAAGAATCCTGCCGTGATAAGCAGTTTCCAACAGCTATAGGTCGAGAGGTATAACGTGACCCCCGGTAGCTGCGGGGCGGGGTGGGGCCAGGGAGGTGGGGTGGGGAAATGAGGCAGGGCGGGGAGTGGGGCGGGGCGAGGGGCGAGGCGGGTGGGGCGGGGTGGGGGCGGGGCCAATGAGTGTGTGGGAAGAGATAGAAGGATGGGACGGGGCAGCAGGACGGATCTGGGACAAGAGATGCGGGGCGAGGCAATGAGTTGAGTGCGGGAAGAGATAAACGAGTGGGGCGGGGCAGCGGGGCGGGGCGGGGTGACATCTGACACAGTGAAGGGCATTTGCAGCCTACAAGTGGTGGTGGTGGAGTGACCCTTCACACACACACACCACCAGGATGTGAACCCTCCACACACACACACACACACACACACACACACACACACACACACACACACGTACTGATCGCTATAAATTATCAACAACTCTTAATTCACTACCAGCCAACCTTACCTTTGCACTGTTACTATGTTGATATGCCCTATTGAATAACCCTCCCTCCCTCTTCTGTTATTATATATTAGTACCACCTGTGTTACCTGTATATTATTTGCCAATCAAGTCACCCATTCCCCAATTATGTAACTATATTTTTTTTAGCTTTTTGGTTGCCATGTTCTTTTAATAAACCGCTAATTGTTCTTCTTCTTCTTGTACTTCTTCTTCTTCCTCCCTTCATCACCTCTCTCCCACCAAGAAAACAGTGCAACCTCGAGGGAAGTACCACAACCACGAGGGAAGTACCACAACCAGAAAGGGAGTACCACAACCACGAGGGAAATATTACAACCACGAGGGAAGTATTACAACCACGAGGGAAGTAACACAACCACGAGGGAAGTACAACAACCACGAGGGAAGTACCACAACCACGAGGGAAGTATTACTACCACGAGGGAGGTACCACAACCACAAAGGAAGTACCACAACCACGAGGGAAGTACCACAACCACGAGGGAAGTACCACAACTAAAAAAAATAAATAAATAAAATAAATAAATATTGAAGTGATAACCGTGGTAACATTATGAGATGTTCTTATTACCACCATGCTATTGTACTATTCCAGATGATACTAAATGTTACATAATACTTCCTTGAGATAAATGTATAGTAAATATCAGGTGCCTAAAAGAGAGCTCAGGTTCTCAACTGGCTCAGCCATGTTAATATTGTTATTATTATCCACTCTGTATCTGTGTTTTTATGGCTAAATAAACTGTTTCAATTCAATTCAATTCAACCACGAGAGAAGTACCACAACAACGAGGGAAGTACCACAACCACGAGGGAAGTATTACAACCACGAGGGAAGTACCACAACCACGCGTGAAGTACCACAACCACGAGAGAAGTACCACAATCACGAGGGAAGTACCACAACCACGAGAGAAGTACCACAATCACGAGGGAAGTACCACAACCACGAGGGAAGTACCACAACCACGAGGGAAGTACTACAACCACAAGGGAAGTACCACAACCACGATGGAAGTACTAAAACCACGAGGGAAGTACCACAACAACGAGGGAAGCACTACAACCACGAGAGAAGTACCACAACCACGAGGGAAGTACCACAACCACGAGGGAAGTACTAAAACCGCGAGAGAAGTACCACAACTACGAGGGAAGTACCACAACCACGTGTTATTCTCTCTCATTACACACAGACAGTCCGCCACTACAACAAAATTCAGCCCATAAGAGCCCGCACCGATAGATATAAGAACAGCACCATCCCATCTATTGTTAAAATAATAAACAACTCCTGATTTATGTACTGTACAGCCCTGTAAATGTATTCAATGCATATTATATCATTATGTCTAAATCAAATGTAAGTCTGTATATTTTCAGCCACCGGCTGCAACTCTATCAATAAACCGTTTATTATTATTATTATTACACACACACACACACCAAAATTCCTACACAGCTCACACATCCCATACTTACACACTGTAATGACACATGGCGCTCCCCCCTCTTCTCTCCCCTCACCTCCCCCGCCTCTCTCCCCTCACCTCCCCCCCTCTCCCCTCACCTCCCCCTCACTCTGGTCACACGTGTAGGCCGGGTGTGGTGACCTGGCTCGCTGACCTGCACGTAATTGTACACACCTGTGCTCCCACGCAAACACGTACACATAAACATCCAGACATACGTACACACACGCTCATGCTTACATACATACATACATATATGAGCATATACTTGGATCACGCGCACCTACAGTGATTTACTTGCATACATACATACATACATACATACATACATACATACAAACAAAATATTATTGGGTATTAGGACATGGGTATAGGACATGGGTAACAGGACAAGGATACAAGATATGGGTAATAGGACATGGGTTGTGCAGATATGGTGGACAAGGAAGGG